GGCTAGGCAAGTTAAAGTCCAAGAAAGAAATTTGAATATTACAAGCACATGTGTGGCAGATTTCTCGTACGTTCTTGTAAATTTTCTCAGGGCAGCGAGACAGCACACAACAGATGTGTGACACTGTGTTTAGACAATGTGACAATGTTGTGCAGACGTGACAATGCTATAATCAGTATTTTTATACGGCTCAAATGACTGCGTAGTGTGAATTGCTCGTAGCGATAAACCCACATGGAACTATAAACCGATTTTGCCGTTCCCCTCTGCTCTAAAAGCAACTTTGACCTCGCCAGATTGACACTCGGCAGCAGTAGGTACGCATCCCAATGGGACGTAAAAATTTGAGAAAGCATTTTTATTGGACACAAAATTGGTAAACACCCCTGATAGCAGGATGAGTCATCAAACATTTGAATCCGTGGACAGGACAGGATTAAAACTTGGAACGTGTATTTTTCATTTCATGGGGCTTTAAGCGTTTTAATCGGAGAAGTTACAGGTTTTGTGCTATTCAGCCAATTAAGCTGTCTTGAAGACTGACTCCACCACCATCAGTCAGAGGGCTAAATGATTTTCTTTAAAAAGTCTGGTGCCATTCATCCAGCCTGCTGGCTTTGATGAAGACAATCCGTCATCTCCAGAACTTTTTGTATCCGGTTGCTCTGCGCTCGTTGTCCTCCTGCCAAATTCTCAAACCGTCCACCAAAGATGGAGAGGAACATTTCACGTTGCACCCTCGGCTCAAAGCAGCCTCTGAGACGACCGGATTAACAGCCAGACAGAAGAATTCAGAGGTGGTCATGAGAGAGCAAACAGCGCGTCACCGCATTAAGTAACTGCTTCCAGCAGTGGGCTTGTTTGTTTCACTGTGAGGAAGTACTGCAGACCGTGCTGACTGATGTATAACGTTAACCTCATAGCATATGTATGTTGTGACTGGGAACGTATGCATAGTTCTGCCTCATTGCATTGGGACCATTAGCCTTCTTGCCCCACAGCTGTAACCGGTATTTAGTTTGCATCATTTCATGTAATGACATCACGTAACTATAGTCATCTGTTGACGACTGAAGTCTCGTTGAGCCAAAATCTTAAAAGTCTTCTCCGCAAATGACGAAAAGCAGATCCAGATTGTCAGACGGAGCTCTGTTAGCCGTTTCCGAATTAGTGCATGTACACGTGCAATCACATTAAACCCGGGAGGCGTTTTTAGCAAGAAAATGGGTGGTAGGAAAATTTAAAGGTGTCATATATCCACAATGGCCACTTTCCAAAAAGAGGTGACAAAAGGAAATCCTTTCATATAAGCTTGATGTATGAACATTTGAAAAATCTCATGCTGGCAAAACAGGAAATCCACTGAGAGCTCATAAATCTCTCCACACAGCTTAAGAGTTAGTCGTAGTAGAGGGCCTGTATGACGGATGAGGACTCAGAGGTACAGTATAGATACGATTTTACTGTTTCTCAGATCTACCTCTGACCGTTTGGCACACCAGGGATATTCATTGCCTGTAGCATATTAGCGAGCAACACAATGAGGTTCACCACTTTAAAACATTCATAAATGGAGTAATGTTTCTTTTGTGATGACTAACAGATGTTTCTAAACTAAAATGATCAGTTTTTTTGTTGTCTGTCCAAGGCTTTCAGAATTTGTATTTCTGACAGAATGCACGAAAAAGTACATGTGTATAAAGACACACACATACACACATATATATGTACCAAAAACGCAACAAAAGAAAAACCCTCTTCCTCATTTTTCTTTTGACATGTATTTGCCAAGTCAGTGGTCTCGTTCAACACAACCCCACACAACAGGTCATTGGCTCCGGTCTGAATTCTTACTTTTTTTCTTTTTTTCTTTTTTTTTTTTTTTTTTTTACTTCTCTTCCATCTATAATGAAATGTCAGCACCTAAATTTTATCCAGAGCCTATAAGCACAGAACTGTAATGGACAAGCTTTAACATTTTTCACAGCTGATCCCATTTTCCTATCCTGAGTGCTAAATGCTCAATTATTTCCTGAGCACTCTCTCCACCAAGGGAAGTTCTGCATTTTTCTGCGTCGTTATGTGACTTTATGAGATGCTCTAACAGACGGGTCCCGTGGACGGCCAAAGTTGACAGCTGCGGGTCTGCTAAATGGAAAAAAAGTCAGCCGATGTGTACAGAAGCTGAGAGGACTCGAATCCGTGGTGACAGAACTGAAGCCAGGGTACACTGTCGAATTTTCTCCTCCTGTTTTCGAGCGGGTCTCGTCTTTCTTTTACCTTCATTCTTTCTTTGGGTAATACCCACTAAGCAAACAAACTGTCTTATATCATAAATACAGTTGTTAATGTCCCATGTGTGAAAGAAATGACTGACCCTGGCATATGTATTTACTTTGGAAGCCTTTGAGGCAGCCAAAGCAGAGTAGGATTAAATTTAATTAGTTTGGGCAACTGTACTCAAAATATCATGCGTGCATAGTTTTACATTTACATGTCTGTTCAGATACAACTGCAGCATTTTCCTTTGAGGGTTGAGAGACCTGATTAAAACATTATTATCAAGCTAATATCATTTATTTTCAAAATTTCAAAATCTAAAATCAATAGAGAATATTGTGAACTTTGCTGACACGACACCAATAGTATATACCGTGCGATGCTGACAAAAGTATGTAGACCTTTGAGTCGGGACTATATAAACACACTAACCATTTAAATGTCAAGATTATGCCTCCGTGTTTAAGCTTTGAGAATCACAACAATAAAACCAATTAATCGTAAAGTCAAAGATAAACGAGTCCCCTGACTGTAAGAATGTAAGAGCGAGGTGCCAGGAAAAGAAATTTAAAACGGTTTTCCAATGTCCACGTCACTTCATGTTAGCGCAGTGTTGGTTTTGGAGCACAACGTGTTTCTGGTTCTTGCCAAATGGCGGATGAAGTCTGTGCCTACCGACAAATTATATTCACGGTGACTGGATTAATCGCATTTCTCTCAATCGCACGGAAGCCATTCATAGCCGCTGCAACATTAGGAAAAGGTTTGGGCTGTTTGACAGGGCACGCTTTTAGTTCGGAGAGTGAGATCCGTGGATAAAGTCAATTTTTTTAGACCGAAACTTGAGTCTCGGTTATTAATCTCACTTGACAGAAACTAAGGACCAAATGCAAAACACAAACTAAACCAACGCTATCGTTAGTGCGTCCACCTGTTATCATTACAAATGACTATGAGCTGCCAATCCCAAGATGAAAGTGAGCTCATTGAGAAACAGGAAACAGCTTAGCGTTAGCGCCAAGGTTGTCTGTGCTGTTCATGTTGCTGCAGTAACTTGGCCTTGAAATCTAACAGGTTAATAACTACATGACCGGGATGGCTGCACGCAGACAGGTATGAGGTCAGTGTTTCCATGCAGCTGACTGCTTGTTGTTCTGTCTGGTGTATTGTTCTGCTCTTTCTGCTCTCCGGACTTCACGACGAACAGTCACAAATGAAAAATAGGTTCCTCCATTACAAAAAACAATAGTACAGTCTTTAGGTTACTGAAGCAATGTTTTTTTTCTGTCCAAATAAACTGAGAAGTAACTGAAGTCCAGACTATTTTCATTGCGCAATCACAAATTAGCACTGTGTGTGATTTTCAGCTTGAGGACCCTGACAGTAGACTCAGACGGGGGGGGGGGCAAAATGTTTTCTTTCTAAGCGATCCCTGCACGAGGAGAACACGTTAAAGACCTAAAATAGCAACACAAACAAAAACACAAAGAATAATTCCTCAAATGTGAACCAGCTGTTCGGAGTGTGAATGTTCTCCCCTCTTCTGTTCCTCTGGTTGTTTCTTCAGTGCAGTGAAGAATTTGGACACGAGCGAAATATTTTTGACATTTTATACCAAGAACTCAGTCACGCGGGACTGCAGAGCTGCATGTACGTGCAAACTTGAGCAGGCCTGAGCAGCCTTAATGCTTAGTTTAGCCCTCCCATTTATTATCCCCATCTTCATTTTCTTGGGTGGACAATGGATTCAAACAAGTAACTGTTTGAGTGTGGAGTCTTAAGTTTTATATATTTGTAATACATCTCCTGCCAATAACTGAGATAGAAAGGTTAGCTGTAGGAATGGCAATACCGGTCAGTCCACTTTGGTCCGGAGTGAAATATCTCCAATGGATTGCCGTTAATTTTGGGACCCCCTTATTTTTTCCTTTAGCGCCATCATCCGGTCAAAATGTGAATTTGTCTTACTTTTTCATTTATCTAATACTTGCAAAACTAACGGCATTAGCGTCAGTTATACTTTGGGTTTCCTGCTAATTTGCAGTTGTTAGCATGCTAACATGCTAAACCAAGATGGTGAACATGGTAAACATTACACCTGCTAGACATGAACATGTTAGCGTTGTCATTGTTAGTATGTTAGCGTGCTGAAGTACAGCCTCACAGAGGCAGCAGCACGGCCGCAGACTCCTAGTTTCTTTTACACTAGTCGATGGATCAAATGCTCAAATGTGGCGAAAGAACAATTCTTATACTAAGTAAATGTGAGGAGTACCAAAGTCCATTGTTTTGTCTGTGTTGGTTTAAAAGTCCTCTACAAAAAAAATGGACATTGTGGTGAGATTTGCTTTGTCAACTACCGTGTGAGTACTGTTGTAGTCACAAAAACCCCTCCTCTCAGCTCAATCTTGACCTCAGCCAGCGCTTGCTAACCAAAGTGAGGCCATGCCCTTAAATCTTTCTGCATGCAAAGAATGCACTAAGACGTCCAAGTCAAACGAGAATCTTCCTCCTTGTGATATATAGTTGCGCAGCTGATTGGGTTTCCTCTTTTCCCTCAGTTTGCTTCTGTATATAATAACCTCTAATGCTGCAAACATGTAGTCCCAGCAGTGGTTTCTCTCTCTCACAGACCCTGTTTTCCTCCCTCCCTCCCTCCCTCCCTCTCTCTCTCTCTCTCTCTCTCTCTCTCTCTCACATACATGGACAGATCTAGTGCTTCTCTTCTCTCTCAGCTCGAGCAGCTCCACCCACCTGCAGATAAAAGCCAAACCCTCACCAGGGCTGCTGTTCAGCGTCTGTCCCAGACTCCTCAAAACCTTGTGATACTTCCACTCTGCAGCAGCAGCACGCACATAAAGGTAAGGGATGCATCACCACTGGCACCGCGGGATCGGATGACGTTTCGGTCGGCACGGCTGCCGTGTTTAGGTTTTTCGGTGCAGAAATAGCATTCGGCGAGTAATCCTAAAGCATGATACAGCTTATAGTTTGTGTTTTTCATGCATTGTCTTGCCTGGATCATTTCCCCCTTTTCTCTTGGCAAACTTGACAAATTTCTTGTGTGAATTTGTGGAACAATACATGAGATTTGAGATTGCATGTGATTCACAGAAGTAGGACCAAAGAAAGGAACATGGAAATAGAGAGGCAGAGCAAAAAAAAAAAAAATTATTTTCTCAACTTCCAAAATGTTTCATAAGACATCCTATTTCACAGAGCTCACTGCTGTGAGCCTCTGCTGACAGAAGTCTTTGCAGATAATGTCTGACAGTTTTCCAAATGCAAAGAAAATCCAAAAGAGACACCTGGGAAGAATAACTCTGGCTTAAACTTGTTAAAATAAATGCATAGTGCAGCATCTTGACAGGATTTAGCATCAGTTAATGGAATGTCTTGACATTTCAGAAATTTTAGTTGCATGTCTTTCAACAAAGAAGAAAAAAAAACATAGGCACTTTTTCTTCCAGTGTTTGAGCAAGAACAGGATTCACTGTTGAGATTATTGTAGTTTTAACTATCCCACATAAATAAGAGGAAAAGAGGATTAGAGTCAATTTTTGAAAGAGGCTTTCTGGCAGCACATTGGCTCTGAGAAATGAGTCAGAGATGGAAAGTTTGGGCTTCAGGAAATCTTTCAGGCAACTTAATTCAACTCATCTTCAACCTAAAACACGCAGACGTGACAGTTTTCAGTCTGATTTTTGCCTCTCTAACCTCTTAACATAAGTTAATCACAGAGTATCCGAGCGTGCACCTGCCAGGAAACAGTCGGGAATCCCTGCTTCACACCAACTGCGGATTTATCACAATGTTAAACATGTCCAAGGCTCGACTGTTGTTTCTTCAGAACCTTTTTTCCGCCGCAAGTGAGTGGAAACGTGTCATAACAGCGGCTATAACTTGCATGTAGAAGTAGGTCGCAATAGCATGAAAGCAGATATGTTTTTTGTGGAAAAGAAGTTTCAGATACCAGAAAGGTCGGTTTTTATGGAACTGAGAGGAACATTGTTAGATCCTCTGTCAGCATTTGCAGCTGTTTCTAACTTCCAGCTCTTGATTTAAAGTGATCATGTTTTTCCTTTCTCAGGGAGAAAACTCTTAATTAGGGGAAAATGTGGTTAAAGGAGCTCACGCACTTGAGGTTAAACAAGTCGTACAATTAACCCGCTGAAAGTTTTTGATTACCGTAACACTCGTAAGGGCCGTCGGCATCAGCAAAACGGTTGTTGTGGATTTTTGTCATTCAGTGCTAAGCAGCAGCGCCGTGGAAACGCACATAACACTGTTATGCAGATGCGAGAAGGTGGAGAAAGATCAAATTGGGAGAACGCAGAGCTTCAGGATCCTTCAGAAGAGGTGATGAACTATCATCTATAGCGGCGCCACGTCCGGGCCTACCATCAGACCTCCCAAGATGCATTCGTGCATTTTTGGGGGTGTTTGTTTTGTTTTTCCGGGGCTGTGTGTTTTTTTCCATATGAGAAAGAGGAGGAAAAAGTATTTCTCCCCGCTTCAGCAAACAGTTAGTTTATAGTTATTTGGATCTTGAAATGATACATTTTGGGAAACCGAATATAATATTGTCCATTCACGGTTTATGAGGCCGAACTACATATCCAAATCGTCAGCTTGAAGTTACCTAAAGATTTATAGTCGTAGGTCTGGGAATAAATCTATTTGAAAGAGGTCCTCCAAAAATATTGAGTACAATTGTGTTGTTTTTTTTGAGGTTTGAGTGTGTCCAAAGGCCTGAGGCTAGCTGGATCTTCTCATGTGAACTCCTGAGTTTTGGCCCCAGATAAGCTCCACCACTCCAAGTCCTTACAAAATTCTGCTGTGCAGTCAGAGAAAAACGTTTTACATGTTCTTCAAAACCATCAGCTTGTCGCAAATTTACTGTCGCTTTAAAATATTGAACAGTGATCACAATAAACTCTTCTCTTCAAGGCGAATAAAAGAACTCGAGCAGTCAGCAGAACATCACTACAACTCTTTTGTAGCGGTATCGAGGCTGTCGGTTATTTATTCAGAGTATGTCATTAATATAACCCGGAACAATTTGCTTTACCGGTTTTTTTCCACTGATCTGAGACAGTGCTGAAAAATGCTAACGCCAAGCCAAGGTTTGTATCACTTTTTAAAGGAATAATTTGACATTTTTGCAAAATTGTTCACATTCCTTCAGAGTTAGGTGAGAGGATGGATACCAGAGCCGGTTAGCTTAGCATAGAGCAAAGACTGGAAACCGGGGAGAAGCACCTAGTCTGGCTCTGTCCAAGTTTTACAAAGCTAGAGGCACGAGAGTGGTAATGACCCTGTCATTTAATTCTCAGCAAGAAAGCGAATGAGCATATTACCCAAACAGTAAACAGTCAAGTCAAAGCTCAGAGAGCTCGCTTGTTGGATTTATAACACTATGGTTGCAGTTATTCCTTTGTTTCTGAGAAATGTGATCATTTCCTTTTTGTTTTGTTTTGTTTTGTTTTTATTTATAGACGAATGACTTACTTTTAAGGCATCGGATCATAAAGTTTCTTAAGCTCGGCTTTTGTTTTTGTCGAGATGCTGAAACTTGTTTGCTTTGAGCAGAAGATGCAGAAGCAAACCTGCTTCGAAGCTTCCGAGTTTGACTCTCCTGAAAATCCGCACGCGAGTGAATCGGACGCCGATCCGTCAGCGGGCTGCGACTTCATATATCTGTTACCCTGTTAATGTCCCTCGACAGTATTTTCTGTCTCCGTCTCGCACTCGTACTCCTTCACAGTTCTCACCTACTGAACAGGAAGCGTTTATGTAGCTCGGAGAGAATGTGTCTCTTGATCCTGCAGCTGCAGCCTCTGCGATTTGAGGCCATGTGTCCAAATGCTCTCCTGCTACCGTGCAGAATACCGCGGCCTCAGAACGGTCCCAAAATATGAAACTTTAAACTTTTGTGGTAATTTTGCATCGTTAACAAAAAAGCATTCTGCAAGCAATTAATCTCTCATAGTGATCCATTTCACCCTCTGTGTGTGCAGCCAATGGTAGTTTAGTTTAAATACACCATCCTGGAATTACAACTTAAAATTTTGCAGATTTATTGCAAAGTGTCTCTTATCTAAACTCCTAAGTAGACAGAGTCGTAGTCCTTATTATCCCTCGTAAATACTCCAGTGCAAAAACATCTGGACAGTAGGAAAAGGGAGGATCATATTTTTTTCTCTGAGTGGCATATTTTACAGTGCGACTGTGTAACACATTAAGCTTCGCAGGACCGTCGTCATATATATCGCTGTCACCGGTCAGAGGATCTATACGCGTTGCAGTAAGCCCTAAATGACCGCGGGCCATTTTATGATCTCAATAAATTGAGATGTGTGCAAAAAAGTAGAAAGTTTAACAAACGCTGAAGACTGAAAACCATAATGACTCATCACTTGAAGGAGAGCTGCAGTTGTAATTGTCAGCAATAAACCCAGAGAAACCTTCTCTCAAAACAGCATATAATCACCACCTAGTCATCTTTAAATATTACGCCGCTCCCACGTTCCAGATTTCACCAATTACAACTCCTCTGGAAGCTTTCATTTGACCACTGCGTTTAGATCGTAAAAACGTTCATCTTAGGATGTCGGAAGTCTTCCGAGGTATTCACGGTCAATTTGCGACTGAGCCTTTTTGGCAGTTTAGGCCTTTATCGGAATAATCGGCAGTGCCGGAAAGAGTATTCGAGTAGAAGAACCAGCGCGACAATCTTAAAATACCAAAATGTATCCAAAATGCTACTTAAATTATCATTAAATATATTTGACCGTAAAAGTACTTGATCTGCAAAAAACGGCCCCTGACGCACCAGAGTGTAAGCAGCATTTTACTGCCGTAGCAGGTCGAGGTGGAGCTTGGTTTAGACAGGAAGTTTGTGTTTTTTCCACATGGCACTCTATCGTTTCACGTTTGACTGACGCCATCTCGTTGCGCCCTCCTATTTCGCGGCCTATATCGCCTAATATTTGAATAACGTAACATTGGAAATGCGACAATGGGCCCCAACTAAACAATACTTCTTTGTATAAGGTGTCACGAGCAAAGAAGGTCAGGTACAATACGCAAGTAAACAGGCTTAGTTATTTTCCACCACCGTTTGAGCTCGGAAACAGGAAGGGAGACAACGTGTGGCCTCTTCAACAGCGTAGGCTGATTTACACAGTACACAAAATATATTTATGCAGCTGCAAACTGCAGAATTCCACACGGGAGTCTGTGGTTTAAGCATAGTATAAGTGATCAGATCTGAATATTTGCCAAACCTTGTTATTGCCTGTAAAAATAATCATACACCAGTGGAGTGTCCCTTTGAGAGCCAGTGCAAATATGAGAGAGAGAGCGAGTAAAAATGTGGCAAAACCGCACAAAGTTCAGACGAGCACTTGGAAAAGTTTGAAAAACCTCACAAGCGTTTGTTTCCCGCCGCGCGAGATAGCGGAGCATGTCGTGTAAAATAAGCTCTCGTCAGAGTAAATAGTTTGAGATTCAAAAATATATTCTTCCCAGCTTTGTTTCCTATTGATTGTTTTTCTCTAAACATGTGAGGTATGTAAAAATTTGAAGTGCTTCCCTAGCTCTGAGTTGCTATTAAGTCCCGTCCACTGACACCAGATACTGTGTTTTGACAGAACTCAAAGCTTACGGGAAAATAATTCTCCACCCGCTCCGATCATTGCCTGAAATGAAAATTGCGGGCAGGCATTCGGTGATCGGCGGTTCCCAGAATCGTAGGAGAGGGGAAATCTGCGGATGAGATGGGTGAAGCGGTAGGGCAGACTGGGTGGATGTGTGTAAATGCAAGGGAGGTGTAGGTGCAATTATTGGCATGTTGGTA